CGGGAGTGAGTTGCCGGTCCAAAGACCGGCGCTCCCCGCCCGAGGCTCCCCGTGCGCTGGGGGCCCACCCTCCGGGAGCCAGCAGGCAGGAGGCTAGCCAGCCAGAAGGCTGGCGCTCCCCACCCGCAGCTCCCCATGCGCTGGGGGCCCACCCTCCGGGAGCCAGCAGACAGGAAGCTAGCCAGCCAGAAGGCTGGCGCTCCCCACCCACAGCTCCCTGTGTGCAGGAAGCCCTCCTTCTGGGGAACCACAAGCCACTGATGACTTTTCTTTCCTTAAGTTATGTGACTTCCATCCAACACCAGTGGTGCTCATAGTGGGAAGAACAGGGAGGCTGGGTAGCTGCAGAGACTCTCAGCCCTGGCTGGACACTGGATCTGCTGTGAGAGGTTTTTAAAAATATGAATGCCTGGGTTTCACCCAAGATCAGTTAAATTGGTGTCTCCATGGTGAGGAATGAGTTCTGGTCTTGGGCCGAAACTCCATTTAGAGGTGGACTTTCAGGAAAGCTTCCCACTTGTGACTTTACTTCTCAGGGAAAGAAGATGGCTCTCTGCACCAACAACATCTCGGACTTCACGGTGAAGGAAACAGTGGTGGGCTCAGATGATTATGCCAATCTAGTAGGAGCATTTGTGTGCCAGTCAACAATCATTCCTTCTGAAAGCAAGGGTTTCCGAGCAGCCCTGTCTTCCCAGTCCATCATCTTGGCAGATACATTCTTAGGTAAGCTTGCTTTGGTTGAGAAATGCATGCATGCATTTATCCAACATTGTAGTCACATTGCATTGGTGTTTGCCCCAGGTGACTAAGGCACACAAGTAATTGTGAATCATTTTGTAAAGTGCTTAAAAATTCCCCACTAAGGGCTGGGGATATAGCCCAGTGGCACAAGCACATGCCTGGCAAATGCAAGGTCTAGAGTTCGATTCCCAGTACCAAAAAAAAAAAAAAAAATTTCCTCCCTCATGGGGTCTGTTGATTATCTCACAGAGTGCAAGATGATTCTAAACCTACGTGTGAACTTATATGTGATGTGCCGTTTTATGAGGCCCTATGCCTTTGGTCAGATTAAGAGCCAAGCTAATGATAAAAGTGAGATAACAACAACAAAAAGTAAGAACAGTAAGCTGATGCAATCTAAATCTGAATCATGGTTGGTGCCATCAGTTTTCATAGTCTTTTGCTAGACCATAAATAAGCTGGTAGCAAATGTGCCCCTTCTGCTTCTGTGGTCCTGGATGGGATAGGAAGGTTTTAAGAAGAATGTAGGTCTGTAAACCCAGGATTCTTAGGAGTCAACTTTACTAGAACTTCTGCGGTGGAGGCTGGGAGTTTTAACCACCTCTGTAGGTGATTCAGCCGTGCGGCCGGACTGGAGAACCAGGGCTGTGGACGCTAAAGGAATGCAGTTTGGGGTTTCAGCACCACGGTCAGCTCCTAGGCTTATATTCAGGGCGAGAACTCCAAAGGGGCTGCTGCTGTTATTTCTGGAGTTGGTTCTATCATTTCACCTATTAAGAGAGAGGAAGAAAGTCTTGTCTCTTTGCTTATTAGATGAAGTAGATGTTGAAATTATTTTCTAAAAATTGATAGGCTATGTGGGGTCTTGCTTTGCCATTCTGCTTTTCTGCCTCTTAAGTAGCTATGAGCACTATATCTATGCACTGAGCAAATAGCTCTATGAGCAAAGTAGCCCAGCTCATTCGACAAAACTCAACAGAGGATAACATTTCTTTTTTTCTTTTGGTGCTGGGAATCGAACTCAGGACCTTGTACTTGCCAGGCAGGCACTGTGCTGCTGAGCTATACCCCCGGCCCAACAATTTCAATAGTAGAGATTTGAAATATTAGAACCAGAAGAGACTTTAGAAATCACTATTTTACTGCACGTTTTACAGATTCTAGAATTAAGACCCAGCGAAGTGACATGAGTTAAGGTAATTACAAGGCTCAGGAGAAGAATCTTTTTATTGTGGAGACTTTGGAAAGGCCTTTAAACAACAGGAGTGCATTGCTTTAGTGCACTATCACTGATGAAGTGGCAGTCACCAAAGTAAAGCTATTTCCTGTTCCAATAGCGGAGACTAAGTAAACCTAACTTTCCCATATTCTTAATAGTTTCTTTTTTAATGCCATCCAGGAGTGACAGTTGAAACCACATTGCAAAACATTACTATAAAAGAAGATATGTTCCCTGTTCCACCAAGCCAAGTACCTGATGTGCACTTCTTTTATAAGTAAGTGAAGCTTCTGCTTCCCTGCACTATCTAGGTTTTAATGGAAAGGAACTCCTATACATTATGTATATTTTATTACCCCCAAATCTTATGTAATTCTCTCAAATATGGATATAGATGCATGTATGGATATATAGGTATAGTAAATATATTCCTTTAAGTTAAGCAATAAAGGGACTCTAATTCATTGCATAGGCAGTAATTACTTCTAATTCACATAAAAACATTAGCCTAAGTAGATATGATCCCCATTCCCTTGAAAAACATTTTGATTATAATTTTGATTAAAATTATAACAACCTTATCTTACAAATACCTTACATTATAATATTATCTAAGAAAATTATCAGCCTTCCAAAGGCACTGAAAGGAAATGAATTTGCATTAAAATTTTAAATTACTGAACTTAATTCATTTTTCTTTTTCATTTGTTCACGGAATGTGAGAGACATTATACACACATTTTTGCTTTGTAGTCTGTATCCTGTTTTTTTAAAATACTATTTACCTTCCAACAGGTCTTCCACAACTACACCGTCTTGTACTGATGGCCGATCCACTGCTGTGAAAATGAGGTGTAATCCTACGAAAGCTGGGGCAGGTGTGATCTCAGTCCCCAGGTACTCTGATTTCTATGTGACCATTCTACATTGGTATTTATTTTTAGAAGCAAAACTCGCCAGATGAGTCCTATTTTAAGACATATTCTTTGTAGAAATAGAGCAGAAAGAGAACAAAAGAATCTGCAGGTTTTGTGGTGGGACTTGCCAGGCACTGATTAAGAGCAGTTGTTGCCCAATCTCCATGCTCAGAGCCTTTGTAATGATGTGTCTTTGAGTGTCTAATTCCCTTGAAAGTTATTTGGGCAATTTATAATTAATTATACTGTTTGTGTCCTTGTATTTACTCTTTCTTTTTATCCTCCATTTCCTGGGGAGTTGGATTTTGAGCTCTCCTGATTTATGGGTGAGATCAACAATTAACTGTGTAGCCGGGTGATGCAGATGAAACAGACCAACTTTGGGGTCTCATTTTCTTTCTCTGGAAGGCTATGGTAACTTGTAGGATCTATTTCCAACTCTTTAGGGTTCTGATTGGTGGTACCAGATCATCAAGGTGAGTCTGACCTGCAGAGGGAAGTGCAATCTGTTTAACTGACAGACATGGGACCACCAGCTCTCCGCAGTCTTCATGTGACAAACACAGTACTCTTTGGGTGGGAATACCGTGGAACCACGGGTGATTTCCTAGGCTCAGAAAACTGCCAACTTAGGTAAAGACTGCTTTCATGGCATGCGGTACACTGAGATGTCTCCTGATTTTTATTTTTCAGTTCCTTTCACTCAGTATATAAATTTATTTCTAATCTTGCTAGGATTAAGGCACATTTGATCACAGTTTGATTTGTAAATCTTTCTCTATCAAACTGCAAAAGCATATAGTCTTAAAAAGCAAATGATTGATTTAATTTGTTCTTGATAATTTCACGATAACCCTTGAGGTATTTTAAGCTACCTTACTGTCACGTCCGGATTGGAAATCAGTGGTATCCTGAAAATAACCATTGGTAGCACAGCATTTGGGGTTGAGTGCTGGATACACAGGTACACTGGCATTCACTTTGCACCAGCTCATCTCTCTGCATGCTGAAATCTAAGAATTTGTTATTTCTTTCTCCTGTTCAAGGTGAGAGGAAGCCGTGATGAGAGGAGTAGCAATAAAAGCAGTAGACGGCAGTCCAGGGTCAGGAGGGCTGCTCCGCCCCTCAGTGGCCCCCTCTCCAGCCTCTGCTGGAGTCGAGGCAGCCAGCTGCTATGTGTGAAGAGGTGTTCAGGGTCCCAGGCACAAAAGCAGGGGCTCTCTTTTGCTGCTGCCTGACTGCATGGCCTTGAGTTTGGGTGCTCATGCTGCTTGCTGTGGCGTGACTAACACTTTTCCAGACCTCAGCCCCATAGGCTCCACTCCTGGGAGTGGACCAGGTTATTGGGTTAATAATATCCCTTAGTTATTGTGGGCTGATGAGGTCTGCAATTTTGTGGATGAATGTACAGCAAAGGCTAAATAAAGGAGGCAAACAGAATGATTTCAGGGCTCCAGGAGGATCAAAGCCCTCTCACAGAATTTGAGATTCTCTCAGGGCTAAGACCAAGACCTTCTCTGGGTGGCCTGTATTTATTTAGTTATCAGAAGAAGGGAGTACTGGGAGTACTCAAGAAGGGTGGGAACCACTCAAGGACTTCTCTAAGTAAGGTATTAAGTTAATCCACCCAGGAGTGAGATGGCTGAGGCTACAGTTTTTATCTAGTTGGAGTTGGATCCAGGTGTCCTTGGCTGTGATCTTGTCTTATCCTTTGAGGCTTTCCAGCTTCATCCACCATTACAGGCCTCAGTAGGGATCAGTGACTCACAGAGGTTCATTTACTGTGAGTCCACTGCCCATCTCCAGACAAGGAGCCTAGGCTTTGGACAGATTCACAAGTGAACATGAAAAGCCAATTGGTTAAATTAAGTCCTGCTCAGGGCTACTTTGTAGTGGTCTCCATCACCAGGTCTGGCCTTTAGAGATACCCGCAGTCACTCTGTCTGAGTCCCAAGATGCATCCTAATGTCTTAATGTCATGAGGGAAATAGTCCCATGATGTTAATGATGGCATCTGACCTCCAGCAGTCTCTGTGCCTTGGGCACCTTAACTGTCTTTGCAGTTTCTCGAGAGACCCTGAGTTTCTCAGAAACCTAAGGGCATCTATTTAAAATTTGATTTCTGAAACTTATGGAATATCAGTGTTTAGCATAAGAATATTTTTATTTTTGTAAAGAATGGTTTTAAAAACACAAAGCAATTTGGATGCATAGTGAAATTTGAGAATCATGTGTCTTACGTGACATTCTGTAGATGTGGCGCATTTGTTTTCCTGAGGTGTATTTTCCAGCTGGGTTTTGCATCTTAGTGTTCTGAAGCCCTAGTGTAAACTGTTGTGGTCTAGAGTGGCCGTCTTTACCCAGGTCTTGGTAGTGCTTTGTGTGCAGTTGTGATGCACACTGAAGTGTGCCCACTGCTCCCGGGGTGGCTTGCACCACTGTCCGAATGTGACCACCTTCCGTTTTTTCCTGGGTCAGTTTCCCATCAGGGCACCAGGGGGAGCTCAGGGAGCAGCACACAAAAAACAGCAGCTTGCCCTCAAATAATCAGAAGCAGCCTATTTCCCTTCCCTCCTCCCCAGGGATAACTCAACAGGGTCTACGGCTGCTTGGTAAATGCATTGTCTTTCCTCAGAGTTGCCTTCATTAATATTATGAGTTGGAATAAAAACAGTATCTTTATCTCTTTCTTACCCTTCCAGTTTTGGACCATGATTGCACAGTTAATGAATCAGTCTAAGGTTGTTTGGCTAAAACTTCCTTCAGAATGCAGATCCATCTTCATTAGTGTGGTCCTAGCATATCGAAAGCGTTGCTTCACTGCTCTGTCCCGGTAGTGTGCACGGGCACGGCACTCCGTGGGCTCTGTTTGAGTCTCTCCATCAGGGTTATTGGACACTGACGCAGTAGTTTGGGCGCTGGGGAAAGAGCGCTGAAGTCAGAAAGTCTGCGCACTCTAAGTTAGTGAGAGCCAGAGAAAGACCATCCCGTGAGCTCCTTATTTTCTTCTTCCCTCTGACGCTTTGCGGACAGGTGACAGATATCGAAATCTGCATGAAGTAGATTAAGAAGACAGTAGAACTCAAAAGATTAAAACCAGATATGTTCTTAGAAGATTAAAGTGTAGGGAGTTGTGTAGAGCATCATGAACGTACGTGAAAGAATGGTAAGTTAAGGAATGGAAAAGCTAAGGTGGACTTGCTGAAATTGTGCAATTTAGACGCTAAGAATTAAAGTCTTAAATTCAATTTTGAAATAAGAATGATCAGGTTTTTCCACAAGAAAGATACAGATGTATTAACAGAGGAAACTAGAGAGTATAAGCTAACTTACTTTGTCCAGATTTTGATTAGATGTTAATATTTGATAATTAACCCAGGACACACTCTTTAGAAAGGAAAGATTTTATAATTGGTATATTTTTTTAATCCCTTGATATAAAAGCTATGGGCAGAAAGAAATCTTGCATTCAGATTCAGTGTGCTAGGGTGTGAGTATTCATGTGCTCCCGAATTCAAGGCTGGAATAACCTCCCTTCATGCCAAGCTGAACTGAGGGTATTAGGAGGTAATGTGTGTGAGAGGCGATCAGATGTCAGGCTCTGCCACCTCAGATGAGATGAGAGCTGGCGCCTTCACCATGTGAGGACCCAGCAAGCCAGCTCCGTCTAGGGAGCAGAGCGAGCCTTCCCTGGATTCCGGCTCTGTGCACCAGGGTCTCTGAGTCTAGGATGCTGTGTTGGACACTAACCTGAACAGCTGGTGTAGACAAGGGCAGTCACAAGCAATGGTGCTTTCCAGCCCCAGCCCACAGAGTCACAGCAAGTGATTGTGGTGTTTTCTGGACCCACACGAGAGACTCCTCTGCCCGTGACAGCGCTCTTGGCAGAGAAAGCCTGAGTTTACTGAGAGACAGAGGCTGAGGGTGTCCCCAGTAGCAGGTGGGAGACAGCGCTGCCCACACCGCGGGGTGACAGTCCCGCACACTGACAGGAGATCCCGTTGCCTTTCTCAGATGCTGCTCTGGGAGAAGCTCCCAACAGTAGTATCCTCACTCGGAGAGAAGTGTCCCAGGGACACTGCAGGTGACCTAGGCCTTGAGACTACGTTGGAAGGTCAGTGAGGTACCACATGCTGTAGAGAAATTTGAACTTGGAATCTGAGCAAATTGACGTTGCCTTGAAAGCTGAACAAGACCAGGTTGAGTGTGAAGTCACAAGAAAGGGTTCTTCTCCGTGAATTCCTCAGGTGAACCAAGCAGATCCTGCAGTAGGAAAGGTAGTTTATTTGAAAGATGGCTCTTTAGAGTTGCTCAGTCTGGGTGTCCCCCAAGAAATGTACCCCAGTTTAGAGTCCAAGACCTGTCTTCCTAAATGAAGATGCGCCTGAATTCCAATATGTGGCCAGTGACATCCTGTTTATATACGGCAGTGCCAGAAGCCAGGTAAGGAAGCCAGGAAGACTGATCCTTGTTTCTGATTAAAGGGAAGTCGGGGTTCACCTGACTGCCCTGTTCCGGGTCTTCCCAGGTCACACAGCACATGTGGGACTCCTGCAGGACCCGCTCTGTGTGCCCGAACAGTGCCGGCAGGCTCTCCAGACACCGGTCACTGTGTTCTGGGACTCGAACCAGAGGGTGAGGAAGAGGCACACACTGGCACGTCTCATCCCAGCTTCAGGAAGCTGGGTGAAGTGGGGGAGTGTTGTTGCTGCAGATCGTCGAAAGGAGCCCTGCGTCAGACATTTGTCAGTAAAACATTGCTCTAGTTTGCTGTTTGCTCTTCCGTTCCCTTGTGAAAGAAGGCCTTTTTAAATCCTGTCCTTTTTCTTTTTACTCATATAAAAGAGCACTGCTGAAATTTATTGCTGCTTCATGTGTCCTTGTCATTTCCCAGAGAAGATTTGATTCAAACTGTGCACCTTGGTATAGAGCAGAGGGTCACATGTGGGTGTTCTGCCTTTATTTTTTTTTTTTTATTTT